ACTGACTAACACTGCAAAACAGAATTGTTAACGTATTAATTTTAATTTCAATTCAGGTTAGATTTTTTCTGTGCGCAGAGAGCGTGCCAGCAGTGCGCACTCGCACAGCTTAGAGGGAACATTGCTTAACAGTATCCCTGCTCACTTTAACCTTCGAACCCCTAAATCCTAAATAATTTGCAATAACTTGCATTTTTACTAATATATTTTTCATCATTTAAATTTCCCAAATTTTCAAATCAAATTCTGATTTGTGCCATATGTCTCAGAATATCACATTGTTGTTTTTAAGAAGCTCACAATTTCAAATTCAAAAAACCCAAATTTAACATGGAATGGTTTTTTTTCTTTTATAATTTTAAGTTTTTACAAAATACTGTGCAGTATTTATACTGTAAAACTAGTTCCATTTAAAACAAAAATACATGTTTACATTTACTGCATTGGACAAAGAACTGTGTCAATGTGACTGATACTAAATGTATCCACATAACTACAGAACACACAGCACAATGGAAAACCAGCGCAGTGTGTTGAATCCTCTTCACCCAGAAGCTTATCCTACAGCAGTACACATGAAATATATGATGTGCAAGAGTCAGAGATGTCCTCTGTTTCACAGTTAATCTGTGCACAGACAGAGGAACAAACAGAGGAAAGAGTGTGTGCTGAAATGTGAAAAGCTTCACTTGGGCAAAGTTACTGTGTTTCCATTCAAAGCTGTGACCTACATTTGCAAATTCAAGCCAACAACCAAGTCGACACAACTGGCACAGACTCAGAAACCAATAAAGTGCAAGCGCAGACTTTGTTTCCTGAAGTGAAATGAAAGCGACACATAATTACATTTCAGGATTTAAACACATCCTCTTCTACTTCAAAAGATGCCTTCAGATCAGAGGGAATAGATCACGTCTACCAGCTGTATAATTTTAGTGTTCACACAGGTGAAGCTGATCCACATATATGTCATTAAAATAGTCATTTTAAAGGGATTTTCAGTCCTGTTTATTTTTTTACTACATCTTTTTTTACATTATAATCATCACTTAAAGAACTCTTGAGAATATCGCAGTATAGGTTTCAAAGGTCAGTATAGTTTAGGTGAAGTTTTTGGCTTTGTTTTGTCAAAAACACAGTTATTTCATGTGTTTTTGACATGAAATAACTATTGTGATCTATTTTATTTGGGTCTTTCTATTGGATAT